ACATTTTTGCCTCTTTAGTGCGTCCAGAAAATTTCTGCCTCTTAAGTGTGTTTAGAAAAATTCTGCCTCGCAAATGCGATTAGTAACTTTTCTGCTTCCAAAATGTTTTCAGTATAATTTCTAACCTAAAAATTAAGATGTTTGTCCACTCCAAATTCTCCCCTGATTCCTTTATTTCTCTAATTTTTAACTCACCCGAGAACGAGTGTGTAAAACAAAGTCAAAATCAGATAATTAGCAGTATAGCAATTTATGGAACACTTGCTTATATTTTTTTCCAACCTTTTCATTCTCTCTTTCGGAGATATTGGTATAAACGTATTTTGGCAGCGTAGTTATCCATCGCAATTTATTCATAATTTCAATTTTCCGCTCTCTGTTTTTCCATTCACACTATATTTGAATTGAAAGGAATATTTGCCGATGGTAACCATTATTAAATGGAATGTTGAGTTCAGTTTGGTATTTTAATGTTGCTGATGTTTTTACTTGAAACAACTTTGTGAGCAAGACACGTGGTTGGGAAGAAATAGTTGATTTATCGTTAGCTACTTAGTTATTAACTTTGTAATATAGCTCAACTGTCTCTTGCCACTTTTTTCAGCAAGATCACATTGAAATTTTATTGAATAGACTGTGTGAAATCGAGAAAAATGCATAATAAAATTTTAGGTCAGAGGAAATTTAAAGTTAAATATTCAAACTTAAAATGTTCGTTGAAATTAGATAAAATTTAAATTTGCATAAAAATGCGTTGAAGCTTTTCAAACCAGCACAATTTCCATACCAATCCCTTTATGCACTTATCGAGCACATTGAAATTGATTCTCATTTTTTTGTCTTCCAATATTGATATTTTTTGTTTATATTTAAACACATTCAAGTGTTTATGCAAATATTTGATTATTGTGAAATCAATGCCGTGCACTTTGCATTATAAAAAAGAGCATTTCAATGTCTTGTTTCAGCGCTTTATATCACGAGCATAAAAATAAATAGTTTTGATAGAATATTTTTTTTTAAATTCATATTTTCAATTGACGGAATTGAATCAGAAGTATTTCGTTGAATGTTAAAATATTTCATGATTCTTTATAAAGCGGAATTTGCCGTGCAAAAACAAAGAAAATAAAAAAAAATCAATTTTATGGAAATGAAAAAGTGGGAAAATCAAATTTATAAATAACGTGCTAAAACAAACACCTTTATGAGGTATAAATATGCTTTTTCAACGTTTCAAAAGAGGGTGAGCGACATTATAAGGTTTATCGAAAATTTTCATGCACTTAAAACTTTTTTTAAAAAGCTATACTTGAGCTATTATTTATGGTAATGATTTAATTGCTTAATGAGGCTTGGTGGGTTCTTTTTGAGCTTAACAAGGAATGCATATTTGAATAATATTTGAGAAAACTTTGTAACGGCTGTTTTGAATTTGAATAGGTTATAGTAATTTTATCATCTTGACTAGGTTTGATCTCCTTGGTTAGAAGATTGTGTCATATTAGTTAACTATAAGCTTAAACGATTTGAAATTAAAACTTAACGGTTACACTTGGATTATAATCCAAAAAATAACACTTTTCAAAAATTCAAATATAATTTTTAAAATTTGATTACATCGGTAAATTTTTGTAGGTTCAAATTATTAACGGTTTCCAAGAATTCAAAAAGGCTGGGAAATTTGGTCATCTTGATTCAAATTCCTTAAAATTCAACTCCAAAACTATTTTAATTAACTTTACAACTGAAGATCTCTCACGAACCCTTCATGCGCAACACAAGCTACATAACGCAAACATTAGCATAAGTACATAATCATAGAATAAGTTGAAAAAATAAACTTTTTCATTGGTAAATATTTGTAATTAAAAGCATAACTTCCTTCATAAATTCATGAAAAAAAAAATTTATTATCATAACAATACATGACTTATGATAAAGTACTTCATATCGTGGAATATAAATTACGATATTTCTGATGCACGCAACAGTTAACGTAAATGCTTTTATGCAAAATGCGTAGCTAACTGACGTGAAGCTTACCTTTCCTGAATTTCTTTGCTAGTTGCCTTGAAACATAATTTATGGCTGCATCTCGCGATAGATACTAAATTTACAAACAAATAAAAATGCAAAACAAATTATAAGTATGACATTCGATAGCTTATGGTCGTGTTAATGAATTTCAATTTTTAAATAAATATTTATGGGGGAGAAAATTGATTTTTTATTCGTGTTTTTGCCATTGTATGATATCAAGGCATAACGAAAGCATTATTTTTAGATCGTGAAAATGTATTGAAAATATTATTTTGTTGAAAGTGTCTTGTTATGAAAAGGCTAAAGGTAAGTGCATGATTTCAAGCTTACATCGCTAAAAGCGTGTCAATTTTAGGTTAGCTGTCACTTGTTTTTGAAAATGGAGTTCAATTGAAAAAGTTTTAAGCTTTGAGGTAAGTTTTGAGTGAATTTTGGATGATAAGGATGTACTGATGTCTGCAAGTTTGAGTAGTTTAGCTTATTTAAAAGTTTAGCTTTTAAAAAAATTCAATTCTTACTTTTGCATCTCTTTAAAAACCTTACAATTCCAACTTTTGCTTCTCTTCAAAAACCTTAAAATTTTAACGTTTGCGTCTTTTCTAAAACCTCACAATTCCAACTTTTGCATCTTTCTAAACCATACAAATGATTTTATGCTTCATAATTTCAAATTCTTAAAATCCGTTATTCAAAAAAAATTCAAAACAGTTATAAAAATTCCAAATTCAAATATTTTGATTATTAAAACTCATTTTTCATCACCAAAAATTTCCATATTAAATATTTCAATATAAAAATTCCATTTAAAATTGAATAGATATCCATAAATAAATAAGAAAAGCTATGCCTTTTCCATAACAAACAAATAAATCATAAAACTCAAACCTCTAATCATTGTGTTATTCGAATATATGTTTGTTCTAATTCATTAAATAAGATTATTCATAAATAAAAATCTCTTTTCTTTATCGTCGTTTTTTTATGTTCCCTAAATTCAAATAAACAAGTTTGTTTATTAAAAGAGAAATACGAAAAGAAGTTGAAAAATTTATTTAAACATTTTTCGTTGTTGTGTAGATTTTTTTTTTTATTTTGTGGTCAAATTTTAATAATATTGAAAAGATATAAGAATAAATATCTAAATAAATAATAATTTTTGAATGAAAAGCATTAAGCATTTAAATCGGAAGTTAGAGAAGCTTTGGGAGATTTAGAAACTATGAAGACGCATTTTTTAATATTAGGAAAAGACTCTTAATTATAACCTTTAAACTGGCCTTCGTAGATACAGCCAGAGCTGTCTTAGTGGAAACTCAACTACTCACCGCCCTCTCCATGGATAAGTAGCCTCAATTCAAGATAGCCAACATATTCTCTCCCCTCTGCTCACCCGGTAGTAATAAGTTAAACAAAGTAAGCAGAAATTTCAAAATCATCCTGTTCTTCTGCACCCCCCCCCCTCCCCCTCCCCTCCCTCATTTTTTTTATCTGAGCCTAGGATTAGGTGTCTACTAGTGGCCCTAGAAACCGGTCACCTCTGACCCCCCCCCCCCCCTACTACCCCTACCCTTCCAGAATGTTAAACTTTGTCATTTGAATGTGCATCCAAAAGTCGACAGCCAGACAACCAGGCAGACTTAAATTATCCCCTTTTCCTCCTCGATTTCCCACCTATCAAGGGACATTTGCTTGATAACAAAAGCAGAATAAGAGGTTCTTTATTCTAAAAAACTTAAATTTCATAAATATTTTCATTGTATCACAAGTGAGTCTCGAGAAGAAGAGCGAGGGAGAGAAAAAGAGCATCAAGCCTCAGCTCAAAGAACCAAATTAAAATTTATGACCGTTCATGAATTTAAAATGAGCAAACAAAAAGTTATTAATTTTTCTCGCAACAGTTAAATATATATATTCAAAAAAATATAATAATATTTATTTGATAAAATCTTGGAATCGACAAGAGGAAAAAAAAATCTTCAAATAAAACTTGCCGCACACGCGATGAGCACAGCACACAAGCAGATACGCGAGACAATCATCGTGAAAGTTTTAACATTTATAATCCTTATTTATGCTATTTTATTTATTTTCAAAAGGAATTCTTTTTTTATTCTCGAATTAAATACGCTCATTTTTGAGGCACTAATGCCGTTTTTATGGATGCTTGAGAATGTAAATATTGAACTTTTTTTTTCTTCTTGTTGTCTGCGAGTGTTTATTTAATTTACACTTCATTTTCTTTGAAATTCTTTTTTATGATGTCTCGACGACGAGTAAATTCCTTCATTCTTGGAGATTTAACGATTTTCCATCGTGATTATTTTTATTTTGGGTGTGCGGTAGCTGAACTTTTATCAATTTTATAGCTGACTTGTGTGTCTTGGGTAATGCGTTTATTGTTGCATAATGTTAAGTGGTTGACACTCGAATGATAACGATTTTATGGTCGCACATACCTACCTCAAGTCATTCAGATTATAACAATGAAGTACATCGAGTTATAAGGATGAACATCATTGTTAAATCGGACATAACCTCAAACGTTTGCTGCTGGATAACAATCAAATCAATTATAAACAAGCTAGCTTCATAGAGGATCAACAAAAGCTACATACTCAGGTAAGTCCACTCCACTCATCCTAGTACTTGAACTTAAACTACATGACAAGATAAGGTTAATCTTAAAATCTCAGACGTCATAACTTACTTACTTTCTTACTTACTGTAACCACGTTCCTATGAGCAGCTTAGATTACAACAGAAAGCCTAGCATTTGACTGTTGCTGGCTCTGTCACTAAGTTTGTACAATTTAGACGTCATAACTGAATGATCCCCAATTTTCCTCCCGCAAATTAAATAACCACAATAAAGACCTAATCTAAAATTTATAGCACCTATCAGTTACTCAATTCTCTCAATTTATAGCGATTAGATTTGATAAAATAATCCAAAAGTCAGTACCTCTTGAGAAATCCGTGGATGAAAACGTAAGCAATGAACTCAGGAAATAAAGCTCCACAAATAATTGCTGGTCTAAGTGCTGCAGGAGGTGCCTTCTGTGTCGGGACAGCATTAGGATGGAGTTCTCCAGCAGCACCACGACTTATTGATGAGGAACAATACTTTCCAATATCAACAAGTCAATGGAGTTGGATAGCATCAATTGTTACTGTTGGATGTGCCATTTCCTGCATTCCAATTGGATATTTTATGAATAAGTTTGGAAGGAAGCGAACAATGATGTGGCTTGTAGTTCCATTCTTAATTGGATGGGGATTAATTATTTGGGCACAAAACTTTACGATGATGTTAATTGGACGAATCTTTCTTGGAATTGCTGGAGGTGGATTTTGTATCTCAGCTCCTCAATATTCTGCAGAAATAGCTGAAAAAGAAATTCGAGGCTCTTTAGGAACAGCTTTTCAACTGCTCATTGCTCTTGGAATTTTGTTCGTTTACGTTATCGGTGCTTACATGTCTGTCTTCGCAATGAACATCGTCTGTGGAATTTGTCCAATTATATTTGCCATCATTTTCGTGTTTATGCCTGAATCACCTGTTTACTTGATGATTAAAAATCAAGAATATGAAGCTAGAAAGTCATTAGTATGGCTTAGAGGCAAGGAATATGATCCATCCGATGAAATTGAGGAGCTGAAGTTAAACTTGTCGGACGAAATGGAAGCAAAGGTTCCATTCTCAGTTGCCATAAAGGAACGGTCATCGATAATTGCTTTAGTTATTGGAATTGGGTTGCTGTACTTCCAGCAAATGTGCATGATTAATGCGATTCTGTTTTATTCCACAACTATTTTTGGGGTGAGTATTTGTGTGCCCAACTTAGACCTAATCCCAAAACTTTTCTTATCCCAATTCCTATCCATTTCAGGCAGCCGGTGTCGGTCTTTCAGCAGACATGTCAACAATCATTATCGGTGCTATGCAATTTGTATCCTCAGCTGGTGGTTCCTTCTTTGTTGATCGTGTTGGTCGACGAGTTTTACTTCTTGGATCAATTTTTATCATGACCTTGACACTCTTTGCGCTTGGTGCTTTCTTCTACATCAAATCAGTGGATGAGGAAGCTGCTGAATCTTTAGGATGGCTACCACTTACTTCACTTTGTATTTACATTCTTGCATATCCATGTGGTTATGGAGGTGTTCCATGGCTTGTTGTCAGCGAAGTAGCACCAAAAAAATTGAAAGCATTTTGTGGACCAATTATTGGATTCTACGCTTGGGGATTTGCATTTTTAATAACATTAACGTTCACTAATATTACTGAATTATTTGGAACTGGTCCGACGTTCTGGATATTTGCTGGCGGTAGTGTTGTTGGTGTATTCTTTACTTACTTTGTGGTTCCGGAGACAAAGGGAAGAACATTGGCTGAGATTGAGTATTCGTTGAATAAAAAGGCTTATGCTGATTAGAAAATTTGTTGTTTCCTTTGGAGTGTGAATCTTCAGGGAAGTAGGGCATTTGAGGATCCGGAACTTTAGATGCAAAAATATTTTGATTAAAACAATTGAGAAAAGTTTCAGAAAGGAAATAAATTAGGAGCGTTATCACAAAACTGAAACGATTTTTTAAGGAATCGAACCTTTAAAGGAATTCAGATTTTAACTCTTCAACTTCTAGTCAGTGAATATTAACTGACTTAAACTCCACAGCTTTTTAAAAATGTCAGATTTAATTTCTTTCAGTGTTTATCAACTTAATTATCGTTATCAGGCAAAGAAAATTGATAAGATTTGATAACGAGCCATTAAGTGCTGATTATTCTCTCAATGTTCTGAGATATTTTCTCAGTTTCAATTCAAAACTTGCTCAAAAAAGGTTGATTTTCGCTTAGTCTGAAATTTTTCGAGTCTTTAGTGAAAATGTCCTTGAGACTATCCAGTTCAATAAGTATCTAACAGATAAGAAGACAATTAACAGCTGCTCCAAAAATATAACTGCATTTTGACCATAATAACCTCAAAATGATAAGATAAGAACCAAAAATGGAACCAAAGAAACTACCTCAATTTATAGCTGCGATAGCAGCATCTGGTGGAGCATTTTGTGCTGGAATGAGTCTCGCCTGGACATCACCTGTTGGTCCACGATTACTTGAAGATGTTCAATACTTCCCAATCACAGCTGATCAGTGGAGTTGGATAGCATCAATCTACAATGTTGGATGTGCTTTATCATCGTTAATCATTGGTTATTGGATGGATCAATTTGGAAGGAAATGGACTATGATTCATTTGATTGTTCCATTTTTAATTGGATGGTCGTTGCTGATTTGGGGACAGAACTTTGCAATGTTATTTATGGGTCGATTAATTGTTGGAATTGCTTCTGGTGCTTTTTACATCTCTGTTCCTCAATACACAACAGAAATATCAGAAAAAGAAGTCCGTGGAATTTTAGGTTCCTTTCTTCAACTTTTCTTATCAATCGGTGTCGTTTTTGTTTACGTATTTGGTGCTTACTTGACAGTTTTTTGGCTGAATGTGATTTGTGGAATTTGTCCAATCATTTTTGGACTTATCTTTGTCTTTATGCCTGAATCTCCTTTTTATTTAGTCAGAAGTAATCAATTGGATAAAGCTAGAGAGTCATTGAAGTGGCTACGAGGTTCAAGTTATGATCCAGAGCATGAAATTAAGCAGTTTCAAGAGAACTTAGTGACAAACGACGGAAATATTGATTTGAAGGATGAATTTAAGAAGAAGTCGTCTATAAGAGCACTTGTTATTGGATTTGGACTGCTGTATTTTAGACATATGTCGTGTATTATTCCGATTCTATTCTTTGCAACTACCATTTTTGCTGTAAGTATTAAAATCTGTCAAAGTTTGACAGCCTTTTGAATTAAAAAGTTGTCAATGTGTACAATGTGGCTGTTTGGTTGTCTGGCTTCTTAGTGACCCTGGCTACTTTTGAATGTATGACTATATTGACTATATTGTATGACTGTAATGTATGATGAGAAAACCGGTAAATTTTCAAATGTATTTTACCGTAATTCTTTTGAATATTTTAGGCAGCTAATGTGGGCCTCTCAGCAGACATGTCCACAATAATCATTGGCATTATGCAATTCATATCCTCGTTTGCTGCATCGATCCTTGTCGATCGACTAGGAAGAAGAATTTTACTTCTTATTTCAATAATTTTCATGACATTGACACTTTTTGCTATCGGAGCATTCTTCTACATTCAATCAATAGATCCAGAAGCTGCTGAATCATTGTCATGGCTTCCATTGACTTCTCTCTGCATCTACATTCTTGCATATCCTGTGGGTTATGGTAGCGTCCCATGGCTGGTTGTCAGTGAAGTCACACCAAAGAATATCAAATCAGTCAATGGACCAATTGTTGGATTTTTCACATGGAACTTTGCATTCCTTATCAGCGCATCATTTAAGAGTGTCATGAATAATTTTGGAATTGGACAAACATTTTGGATATTCGGAGGTGTCAGTACAATAGGAATTATTTTCACATATTATGTCATACCCGAGACAAAAGGAAAGTCATTAGCGGAAATAGAAATGGTGCTGAATAAGAAAAAAGGTAGCAAATAATATAATGACTAAATAATTGTGCCTAACATGTGTACACAAATTTGATACCCAAAAAAGAAAATAAAGTTATAATGTCATCATCATTATTGGCTGATACAATAGCAGATCATTAAACAAAATGCCATTTAGGTAATGTTAAACAAGCGTAGAAATTAAAACCAAAAATTTCACTTCCAAAAAAAAGCAGTTTAAATATTTAAAAATGACATGTAATTGAATGAAGAGTAATGGAGGTCTAATGAATATTTACATGGTTTAAGCTTTAGTATGTAGGTTGTGTGAAATGAATAGAAATTATGTCATTAGCCATGTGAAAATGTTACATTAATGGCTTGATTACAAAAGGGTTTTGGAGGAAAGTGATTGGATGGGAATCTGGTGAACTTTTTGAGGCGTGACCTGATTGAATTTGGTTTAGTTATAGGTTTGGTGGGTATTATTTGTTTGAGTTGCTTTGTGATTTATGAACTTTAAGTATTGTAAGTTATTGATTGAATTTATAATTTACAAAAGCCCTTAAAAGTTCATATTCCGTCTTAAATATATTCAAAACTTACAAAAGCCGTTAGAAGTTTAAAATCTACAAAAACATAGTAAATTTAAATTTTACAAAGTCGTTAAAATTCAAAAAATTTAAAACCGTTAAAAATTTAAATACAAAACAGTATAATTCACAATTTTACAAAATCAATAAATTCAAAATTTTGCAAACCCGTTAAAATTCAAAATTTTACAAAACCAATAAAACTCAAAATTTAACAAAACCGTTAAAACGCAAAAAAATCCAAATATACAAAACAGTTAAAATTAAAAACTTACAAAAGTCGTTAAAAATGCAAGATTTTACAAAACCAGTAAATGTTCAAATTTTACAAAACCGTTAAATTTTCAAATTTTATAGAACCGTTAAATATTCAAAATATACAGAAACATTTAAATATTCAAAATTTACTCTTACAGTTGAACATTCGAAAATTGACCACTTTCTCACATCAAATCCACAAGATGTACTTCAAAATTTCAAACTCCTTAATGAAAATCCAGCAATAAATAAAATAAAATTCTCCCCAAACAAAAAGCCAAAATTGAGATCACAGAAAATAAATAAAAATTGCATTATGAGACCTAACAACCCACACAATGAATAAATATACCACAACATTACAAATGTTCCCAATCATGATTATGAGGCAGTTATCAAAGGAAAAGAATCTTAGTCAATTGCACAACACGTTTTTGTTATATTAGGCGAGACGAAATTTACTGAGCACAATAATGTGTTTATTATATCATCAAAAATGCCTTCAGAACCTCAAAAAGCAGTCACTTATCCTTCTTATTTTTTTTTCTAGAGCTATAAATTCTCTTCTTCTCAAGCAAGAAACAGAAAATTTTTGTGTGTTGAAGCACAAATCGAGCGGAACACCAAATAAATCACATGTGCTGTTCTAATATTTTCATTAGATTTGTATACATTTATTTTTATCGGAGGGGTAATTTTAACGAAAATTGAGAAGTGTTGGAAAATTTTATTTATTGCCAAAATATATGTTTGACTACTTCCATATTTTAGCATGAAATTTTAGGTGTTATAGATGCATTTTTATGTTGAAAGGTTGTAATCTAGTTTTGGAATTAAGAGGTTTGGTGATTATTTATTTTTTGAATTTTTGGTAGAACTGATTCAATAGTATGGTTAGTGCACATTGTTCTATGCCTCATAACTGCTATAGATTTACAGATGCGGTAAGTTTTGAATTTTTAAAGGCTTTGCAAATTTTAATTCTTAACAATTTTTAAAATTTTGAATTTTCAACGGCTTTATAGATTTTGAATTTTTATGCTAAAATATTTTGGATTTTTGAATTTTAAATTTCCGTTAATTACAAAATTTCCAATTTTTTTTCTTCAACTAACCCCTGTCAAATTTATTAAAACATCAAAATTCAAATCCCCCCTTCCAAAAAAAACTAAACAACTAGATAACCCACTTGATACACGAAATAATTATGCAATTTATTTACAAATATGTCTAACACCGCTTTCATGTAGGAACAAAAAAAAACAATTTTTTTTTGCTGAAATGTGAAACGCCCAAAAAATACGAATAATAGTCTATCATAAAAAAATTATTCAAATATTTTTCATGCAAAAAAAACCATAACACTAGCGCGGTGTGGATAAAAGGAGGTAAATTAATAATTTTTTTTTTTGAGTTTAAGAAAATATTAAAAACAAAGGAACACGAAAAAAGAAGAATATTTTTTGAAGGCGAGGATAGAGAAAATGAAAATAGTATCACGTAATATGATTTATAGCATTAGAACCCCTTAATAAAGCTGAAAACCACCGACAGAAGAAAAATCTCATTTAAAATTTTTAAATTCCTAGAGAACATTTTTTTGTATCATTAAGAGAGACTTGCTTTATAAGGTTATTTTGCTGTAATGATTAAAATTTTAAAGGATTAAATTGTGGATCGTTCATGAATGACGTCCGAATAATAACTAAAAACGACAATTTTTCAAGAATAGAATAACAAGAAAAACGTAATGGTCAAAATTCAAGATTTAAAAACATAATGGTAATTAAGTCAAATAAAGTCAAAAGAAATAAAATTTTACTACCAAAATTGTAATAGAAACTAAGGTTTAATTCCTATAAAGTGTAAAAACATCAATTCTCTATACTCCTTGTTGGTTGTTGTTTCTTTTTTTTGAAGTTTTTATTTCTTGCAAAATTTTTCAGTATTATTTTTACTTCCACAAATTTTTCAAATTTAAAGTTAACAACAGTATTTAAAATTTTAATCATACTTTAATCCAACCATTACAATAGAATGTTATTAAGCCAAATGAAGATAGAACTTAATAAATATAAACACTAAAATTATTCTTAAAACCCGGGTTCAAATCCCATTAATTGTGAAAATGATTCAACGAATCCCTCAACATGGTTTTGAAAAATTGCTTAATTTTTTGCAACTTATTCTTTATCAATTCTATCTCATTCACATTTTATGCTGCATCGCATGAATTTTTAAATCTCCAAGAAAGTAAAAAAAAAATATTAATGATATACTGCAAGCATGTAGCCAGTGAGTCAGAAGGAATCCAAACGACTTTGTCTTATAATAAACCTCAATAATCTCAACAAAAAATTTCACTCTTTCGTTTATAGTTATAAGAAATCATCGAAGGCGATTATTATTCTTATTATACTTTATGCAACACTTTTGTGTTTGTTATTATAAAACGATTTTTGATGATTTTTTTACTTTTTCGCAGCCTCGGAAGGAGAAGAAAATTATTGTGCTTCATAAAACTTCTTTCTTTTTTCACTTCTAAGAGCAGATAGAGCGAGAATGAGCTTAAGGCTATTTAGATAAATAATTTCGAAACATAAACAAGAGATTTTGCGCTGTTTGGATGCTGATGATGATCATTTTATTATGGATATCTAATTTCTCTGGAATCTCACTTGGAAGTGATTGAAATTTTATGACTTTAGCTTGGATGGGGTTTTATGAGTTTGCTGTGTAGCTTTCATGAGTTCTGTGAATAGATTTTATAGGGGGTGTCCGTAAAAATGAGATTCTAGTACTTCTTGGGTAAGTTTTTCTGGTTTACCCCTGCGATACTAGAATATTTGGTACCCGAGAACTCGTTTTATCTACTTTTATACTTAGAGTTGCTCCAGATCTCTTCTCAAAACTAAACTTGGTGGTCTCTTTTAGTCATGTCCAACTGCAGAAGATACCACTGCGACTTACAGGAGCTACCATTAAAGGCCAATGACTAAAAGTGGTTTAAGACCACCTTTGGATGATGATATTCGACCTGATGTGGTAGATGGATCCAAGCTGCTTTTAACTAGTGAAACAAAAAGTTGGACGTCATTTATAAAGCAGGGGTAAGCAACTATGTGGAAAAAAAATAAATGACTTTTTCTCTTTTTCCACTGAGCTGTTTTCCCTCTTTTTTTAACGGAATTTGTTATTTCACATCACAATAACCTCAAAACTAGCCCCAAAATACATCTCAAAACCATCGATTCATTCAGAAAACGCACTAAAATCAAACACACTAAAAAACTGCCTCACATTTAATTATCATAAATCAGGCGATGTTAAATGTAAACACATTTTTAGGTACCATTATGGTAATGATTAAAGGTCGGCATTAGCAAGATGAATGCATGAAGCGATTTCTCAAACATATCAAACACTCATCATCGTGTAATTTCAAAGTGATGCTTTGAAAATTTAATTAAAAGGCCCATTCGAAAAAAAAAATAATAATTTTGTTGAAACTCCTTCAACATGAGAATCCGCGGGGGGATTCATCACGAAAATTTAATAATAATTTATACTCTGTTTCTTGTGTTTTTGTTGTCAGTGCTGTTAATGTCTGTTAAACAAACATTTTTATAATTAGTAGTATTGTGGTTTGAGATTTTATTCCGAGCTTTAAAAATTGTCGGGTCACATGATTAATGTCTTCAAATGTTCCGTGTAAGAAAGAGATGGAAATCGGGGCTCTTTGTATAACGATTTAAATGTTTTGGATGAAAAAGAAGAAAGTCCATTAAAGTTTAACACTTTAAGGCTTCGATGTTGATTCTTGCTTATATGTTTATACTTATAAAAGACAAACCGCTCTCAGTTGGAGCTATTATAAGATGAAACCGTAGGAAATGAGATGCGATTATCAAAAATACAGTGCGTATCGATAGAGGTATGTGAATGATATTGGATTTGTGACTAATTTCTGTATTTTTGGAAGTATTTTGCCTGAAAATTAGTAAAGTGTTTTTGTGTATATAATTTACTAAATTTGGGTTTTAAAAAGTCAAGCTTAAGACTTAATTTTGATAAATGAACCTTTAAAAAACTTGAATGCGTTACTTTTGCTGTTAATTTCCCTAAATTTGCACAAAAATTTATCAAATTTAAACTGATAAAAATTTGCTTCCTGAATAGCGATGCAAATATTTCAAAT